AGTTGATAATAAGAGCTCATTGTAGGCTACATTTAAAGTTGAATTTACCCTGTGTTTGATTGGTAAGATGTATGAAATTGTATCACCATTTGTATGATTACTTTTTCTTCAATTCAATTAAATTGAAATTTATATAAAAGTATTTGAAAAACTTAACATGTATTTAGTTTATTATTTAAAGTTACCTTTAAGATTTTTTGTAGGTATGCCCAGGTTTAAACTGGAAAAGTTAAGTGGTTCAATTTACCCCCTGACCTGGATCTTACCCCTACACTGGGGTAAGTTGAGCCACAAAAACACTTTTTTTTAAAAGAAGTAATATTTTCACTGCCCTTATTAAGAATTAATATTAATTATTATCATTGCCATTGATAGGAGACATCCTGAATTATAGGTGTGTGCTTTCATTTTTACTAAATAATACAAAAATATGTTTTAATTGACCACTTACTGTGTAGCTTTGTATAACTAGATAGGGAGTTGTTTTTTGGACTGGGTTATCATTCTCAAGGTCGCAGGTGTTTCAACGGCTCCACGTTAACCAGACACAGCACACACATCTTTTGTTCAGACCTTGCACACTATTGCCGTGAACATGTGACTCTGTAATGTTTGAATATTTTTCCGTGCAAACATTTATTAAATATCCAATCTTTATTGCCACTACAATAAAATCCTAGTTTATCCAAAAGTTTAATTTTTTTGTAATTTGTACATTCATTTGTAATCACTGCGTTTGTTACACCCAGCGTTTAGAGAACCTTGTCGGTTCAGATGGTAAATCAGTTTTAGACTGACACAAAACGAAGTGAATGTGACGCTGTATAAAAAAAAAAATACAGCGTACAGTAGATCATGCGATTTGTGTGACCGGGCATTGCTCGGGCTGATCCAGGAACAGAGTCTGGAACATGTGGTTGTAGAAGTCGGGGTGGTAGAGGCAGGCCCTGGCACAGTCGGGGCTGAAGTTAAACTCCAGGATCTGAGGCTGCATGACGCGCTCGCCTGGCCCAGGATAAGAACACACACAGGTTAGAAAACAAATTAGAAATTCAAAGAACAGAACCAGGGTTCATACACAAAGACAACAGGCAAAGCTACTTGGTATTTCAATAAACAAATTAACAGTATGTTTAGCTATTTGTTAAGATTATAATATTCTTTCTTGCCGGTCAAGTTTCCGGAAATAATTTATTTTACCTGACAAATTTGAAACTTAGCGGTCATGTTTCAATAATAATAAGAATTGTGTAGCAGAGTTTCCGTTAGCATGTAATTAACGGAATATGACCGGATATGCTGATGTTTAAGACTCAGTTAACGAGTCATTTTCATATTTCTTCAGTTTATGATCGAAATGTTAATTTTTCAATAAATTATGTGCTTCCACAAACAACATAATTATTACATTCAAAGAAACTTCTTATAGTAGATAAAGTACATTATTCAAAAGTTTACATTAACTTTGAATTAATTAATTCTCTCGCGCGCTCACTCGCTCGCTCTCTCTTGCGCGCGCGCGCTCGCTCGCTCTCTCTCGCTGTTTCTCTCTCTCTCTCTCTCTCTCCTCTCTCTCTCTCCTCTCTCTCTCTCTCTCTCTCTCTCTCTCTCTCTCTCGTCGTCGCTCGCTCTCTCTCC